ACACACACACACACACACACACACACACACACACACACACACACTTGAAATTTTTTTAAATCTTAAAAAAAAAATTGAAAAACACAAAGTCACCCACTCAAGATGTAGCTACAGGACATGGAGTCAGAAGAGGCTAGATTCCAACTGTTTAGAAGGCTGAGCAGACAGGTTGGATGCTCCTCGTGGAAAGGGAAGAACAGTGAACCCAACACCACCTGACTCTCAGCAGGTGTGAGAGGAAGGAGTGTACCTGTGGTTCTGCAGGGGCTTAGTAGACCATAGGAGCAGTTGGTGGGAGAGCTGACGCTGCACCATGGGATGGCTGCTAGGAAGGGGCATGAGCAGAGTTGGTGGAATGTGGGGTCAGTTGAGAAAGAGGAGGGGCAGGTCTGCTGGGACAGTTGCCATGTGTCAGTGAGGGAACAGAAACTTGGGGTCCAGGGGAGGTGAGCCCTGAAGTAACAGCACCAGCAGTGCTGGGCACATGTGTGCTGAACTCAACTCGGTGGTTAGCAAATGAGCTATCAGGTGATGGGTGAGAACAGGGAGGAAGAATAAAGGTTGGAAAGTGCCTGACTGAAAAGTATGGTAGGATAGTCAGTGGCACTGGGCAGTCTGCCCCAACCCCAGGGATGGCAATGACTAGAGACATGTCTAGGTGGTATATTGGGAGAGAGATGGCTGCTGTCATCTAATGGAGAAAAGCCAGAGGTTGCTGGGCATCCTACAATGCACAGCACAGCCCCACGAGGACTACTACAGAGTTCAAGATGTCAGTGGAACCACTGTGGGACATGCCAAAGTAGACAGAAGCTTAGGGTTTTGCCAGGTGAGCCTGACATACCATACACATGAGTGGGCCATGGGATGTAGCTAAGTAAGGAGGGAAGTGAAAGACTGAATAGAGGTGGAAGGAGAATGGGCTGTAGGGCTGGGGGAATCAGAGGAGTGTAGTAGCTAAGCAGCAGTGGCTTTAGACTAGGATGCTGACAAGTAGGCAGGTACCATTCAGGTCATGGTAGGACTGGACTCATAACCAAGCAGTGAGTGGCTGAAGGACAGTTAGAGGAAGTGAAGTCAAGGAATAAGACACCCAAGTATAGAAGCATAGTGTATGTGATAGTAAACCCACCATGTACAGTGGAGGTGGTAGAGAAAGTCAGAGGAAGGGGGTATGTCACAGGGTTCCTGGGGATGAGTCCAAGGGAGAGGCACAAGGCTAAATCCACTCCAGTAACATTCACATTTTACAGATTCTTACTTACATGTGTTCAAAACTATGAGACCACCTAATTGATTATTACTCAAGTGGTATGCTGGAGGGTATGTTAAAAACAAGCTGGGTAGGAGGGCAGCATACAGCCTTGCCAGTTCCCATGGGGTACACACTCCCACCAGGGCCATCCAGTTTCAAGCCTCCAGTGTGACATCACTACGGGTGGAGTTGGGAAAAGATGCACACATTGAGCTTGTGAGTCAGTCAGACCTGGCTGTTTGCATAAGATGTTTTGTAATGCCGCTGTAAAAGTCAGTTGCAGAATCATTCCTCTATGACAGAAGAAGAATTCATACAGTCTCGAGTGCAGGAGGAGGAAGGCAGGTTTCCAGTGAACATGCCGGTTCCATTTCTGTTCTATTTCACACTGACATTCACACAGGAAGATGTGTACAACAGCATAAAGCTGCTGTGTACTCTAGACACTGGTGAGGTGGAGGAGGAGTTGTACTTTTCTAGTTATTTAGTTGTGGTTGTCTGCCTGTAGCTGTAGTTTGATAGTTTACAAAGTCTTTCAGTTGCAACTATCACAACAGCATCACAGGAATGATTTCCTGTTTTGGCTGGATTTGGGTTTTTTGAAGGGCTTTTCTTTTCAGATGAAGTTATACTGTGATACTGAAAAACAGAAAATTATCTGATCATTTGTCAACTGAAAAGAACAGCTCAGTAGAAAGTTTCTTGTCATAAGATATGAGGATTATATGGTCACCCCCATTTCAAAGGTACAAGTAGTATTTAAACATTATATTACTGAATTATATTACTAAATATTTTAAATTCTGTTCTTTTCTTTAGAGCCACTTTTTGTTCCTCACTCTCATTAGAAGCACTTTTAACTATTTTTACATACCCATAATTTTTAGTGTCATATAGTAATAGTGAAATGATCATTTCTTTATTGTAAATGCAGTACACAGCCTGTATTTCACTAGGAGATGCTGTTTGTAAGCACTCAGTGATGTCTACGCAAGAGACCCAAAGCAAGTGTCTATTAAGGTGAATAGACAGGGCTAGACTGCGCATCTTGTCTGTGCCAAGGGAGCAATGTTGGATGAGAAATTTCTTGGTCTAATTATACAAATTGTTTCATGGCTCTTTTGTTTTTTGAGACAGAGTTTCCTGTAGACAAGGCTGACCTTGAACTCCTGATTTTCCTGCCCCTTCCTCCCGAGTACTGGGATTGCAGGCCTGTACCACCACACCCAACTCAGTAGCTCTTGAAATGCACTTCGTGTATTCCTCCCGTAACAGCTTCATCAGTTTCTAATGCACACACAATACAGTTAGTTTCATGGGATTGACATTTCTTAAAATGTGTTTTGGTTTTTTTCCTAAAAAAAATTAGCAAAGCCATCCCAAGAATCCGAATGACAAACACCGTAGCAAAAAATGCAAAGACCCGAAACCCCGAGTAAAGAAGTTGAAGTACCACCAGTACATTCCACCAAACCAGAAGGGAGAGAAGAATGAACCACAGATGGACTCCAACTACGCCCGCCTGCTCCAGCAGCAGCAGCTCTTCCTGCAGCTGCAGATCCTCAGCCAGCAGCAACAACAGCAGCACTACAACTACCAGACCATTCTGCCTGCTCCCATCAAGTATGCACATGGGGCGGGGCGGGGGGGGGGCGGTTCTCCTGATGTGGTTGGTGCCCTGGCCTGTAGGAGAACCTTTGAGTTACAGAAGGTTAGAAGTGACCACATACTGTGCTCAGGGACTACTCACTCAGCCTTGGTCCAAGCTTACCACACAATCTCTGCATCCCATAGTGAGCATAGCCAACCCTCTAGTCCAGCATTTGTCCTTCAGAAGGTTCTCAACTTTTACACGTTAGGATATTTCTCCATAACTATTCAGGAAAGATTTTCCTCCCAAATGTTCCTGTCACTATCAGATGCCATGAGAAACATGTGGGCACAAAGGCAGGAGTGGTCAGGGAAGGCTTTGTGGAGCGAGCACCACATAGAAGGCTCTGAAAGAGTCCTCCCAAGAAGAGAGAATGACATGAACCCTGGTAGAGAGAAAAGACAAGCCATGGCTATGTGCCAAATGGTGAGTAAAGCTGCCAGGATAGAGAACGTGATTTATTTTTCAGAAGAGGGGAAAACAAAACTGAGTAGAGTCGGTGTCTGCAGGAGACTTTACTCCACGTATCAGACAGTAGAGTGTCTCAAACAGTGGTGATGTAGTGAGACTGAACTTTAAGGCAGAACAGTTGGATGCTGGTAGTAAAGGAAAACCTGGAAACATGCAAAGACAAATGGGTCATGATGACAGAGTGGAAGGAAGAGACAACAGGTGACTCCTGGGGAGAGGTCTAAGCGTCCCACAGCGGAGAAGGATGACGTTGCCGCAGCCTGCACCCAACTGTTTAGGCCTGGAGGAGGCATGTTCACAGCAGGACATCCATAGTTTCCTTATCTGATAAAGGAATATTCTAGCTATGCATCCTAGTATGCTTTAAGACATAAAGATGCAAAGATCCCATCTTTCACTTCCATCTGCATGCAGCTTGAGAGACTCTAGGAAAAATAACAAAAGCTGGTCATAAGGAAAACTTAACTGTCTGTGAGCAAGATGTTCGGTTTATGACCACTGAATCCGTAGATCTTCCTATTTGCCCATGTAGGCCACAGCTTCCTCCATAGGTTGCCCCCTTTTTCCTAGGAGCACAAAATGATGAAAGCCTACTGAAAAGTGCCCAGAAGTAGGGGAATGATTATCAATTTTTTTCTCTTAAGATGCAAGTATCTTGATGAGGATTAAACCCATTGGTAATTCAAGTCATGCTGTGAAGTGCACATCTACAGCACCAGAGCATGGAGATGGAGAAGTAATTTTGTAACATGTTATTATTTAAAAGCAAGCAGATCCAAGTGAGCTGTTGATGTTGGAAGGGACCCAGGCAAGGCCACAGAGAGATGAGACAGGATCCAAGCAACTGCCACTACTTTTCAGCTTTGTCTAGGACCTGGGCAGACATCCTGCACTCCCACCTCCTTGGGCACCAAAAATAATAACAGCGGTGACCACGGCGCCCATCTGTTTATAGTTCACATCAGAAGGAATTGGTCTTTTTGACTCCATTCCCATTGAGGAAACAGTGACACTGAAAATCCCACAAATTTCACACACACACAACACACACCACATCACACCACACCACAGTATCTACCTATGAAATCATCTTTGTTAAAGTGAAACCATTTGCCTGTGTGGGGCTGGCTCTTTGTCTGGGAAGAGGACATCCTAGATGTGGGATGCTCGAGGCCACAAACACTATCCTTCCTTGAGGCTTCAGCTTCCCTCTCCATGAGCCTTCCCTGACTACCACATCCAAGCCAACTGCCCCCAAATGAAAGTCCACCAGCCAGGAAGAGCATCTCATGCCACATGTCCTTTAACCACATGAAGACTATTCTGTCCAGTTTCCGGATCTGAAAAATTGGGTCTTTGTTTTCCAGCACAATATTATCTTTACCAAAATTCTATTACAAAAAAAAAAAAAAAACAAAAAAAACCCGAAGCCTTGCCAGATCTGGTGGTGAACTTCCATAATCCCAGCACTAGGGAGGCTAAAGCTTGAGGTTGCAAGTTCAAGGCCAGCCCAAGCCACACAGCAAGACACTGTCTCAAAAAGCAAAAATGTGGTGGCATGCACCCTTAATCCAAGCACTGGAAGCAAAGGCAGATAGATCTCTGTTTGAGGCCAGCCTGCTCTACATAGTGAGTTCCAGACCAGCCAGAGCTATATAATGAAACCCTGTCTCACTTTAAAAACAGAGAGAGAGACAGGGAGGGGGGGCGGGGGGAGAGGGAATATAACCTGAAGCTCTACGGTACTCAGTGCAGTGGGGTTTTACCTGTACCTTGTAGTACTTTGGTACTGCAAGGGGATAAACCCAGCTTAACGGCTTACTGGCAGAAGCCATGGAAGGTAGCAGAAGCCCACCTCTGTGCTGCTCAGGACCTTAGGCCTCACAGCTGCGTGGTAAACACATCTATCGCTTCCCTCCTTTTTCTTTGCATTTAAGTGAAAAGATAAATTCAGCTTTTTTTTTTTAATGTTTATGCGTGTATTGCCTGCATGTATGTAAGTGCACTCATGTTATGCAGTGCCCACGGAGGTCATAAGAGGGCATCAGATCCCCTCTAACTGGAGTTATAGACGGTTGTTAGCCATCATGTGGGTGCTGGGAATCGATCCCTGGTCCTCTGCAAGAGCAGTCAGTGCTCTTAACCGCTGAGCTATCTCTCCAGCCCAGTTCAGCTTTTAAAATAACAAAAGTAATTTCTCCAGTTTGGACTGGAGAAATGTCTCAGCAGTTAAGAACACTTGCTGTTCTTCCAGAGGACAGGGGTTTGATTCCCAGCACCCACATGACAGCTAACAACCATTGTAACTCCAGTTCCAGGGGATCCAATTCCCTTCTCTGGCCCCTGTGGGCCTTGCACACATGTGGTGCACTTACATATACACAGGAAAAACACTTATACATGTAAAATAAGAAAATAATTAACAGAAGCTAAATACATTTAAGTCACAAGTATAGACTCTCGACCACAAGGATAGCATAATTATTTTTTGTGTTATATGTACATGTGCATGTAGAGGCCTAAAGATCAACTTCAGGTATATTCCTCGATTGCTCTCTACCTTGTTTTTTGAGATGGTATCTCTCACTGAACCTGGAGCTCACTGATTTGGGGTATTGGCTGTCCAGAAAGCCCCAGGGCTCCTGCCTCCTCATTCCCAGTGCTAGACACATGCCTCTGTACCCAGTCTTTGTACATAGGTGCTGGGAATCTGAATTCAGGCCCTGAAGTTTGCAAGCAGCTTACCAACTGAGCCATCTTCCCCAGCCTCATGAGCAACACTTGTCTGTTTACCATAGGACAGTATCACTTAATAGGAAACAAAGTAGCTTGGGGATGGGGAACATTACATAATAAAGCACAGGCATATGCGTAGTATAACCGCTATTAAAACTCATGGGTGGCGGGGCTGGAAAGATAGTTCACAAAGTACTGCTCTTCCAGAGGACCCAAGTTCAATTTCCAGCAACCATCAGGCAGCTCACAACCACCAGTGACAGCATCTGCTGGGGCATGTGGCCCATCTGGCTTCTGCAGACACTTGCACTCATGTAGTGGACATATCCGCACTGACATTTACACATAGACACATAATTTAAAAAAATAAAAAATCTTTTTTAAAAAATTCATGGAGAGGTTGAGTCAGGGAAAAAAAAGTGGGGGCAGGGGGTCTAAGATTGCTTCTTGTAGGGAAAATATTAAATTTAAATAAGGCCCAAAACCACTTCTTGAAGAGTTTTCATAACCTGATACTTTAAAGGTTTTTTTTTTTATTTTACATATATGAGTGTTTTACCCACATGTATGTAAGTGCATCCATGTTATCCGATGCCCACGGAGGTCAGAAGAGGGTGTCATATCCCCTGGAACTAGAGTTATGGATGGTTGTTAGCTACCATGTAGGTGCTGGAAACCAAACCAAGGTCCTCTGCAAGAACAGCCAATGCTCTTAACCATTGAACAATCTCTCCAACCCCTAAAGCTTGGTTTTTGAAAAGAGACTATGATACACAGAATACTGGTCAGTTCATCCAAACTTCAAGAAACTTCATCTTTGACACATTAGGCATTTAACTACAACTGAAGACTGTTGATATGAATGTCAAGAGTTACCTGAAGCAGGGCATGGTTATGCACACCTTTGATCCCAGGACTTGGGAGGCACAGGCAGGCAGATCTCTGTAAGACCAAAGGGCTGCATAGTTGAGACCCTGTCTCAAAAAAAAAAAAAAGGTTATCTGAGGGGTCTGGGGACATGGCTCAGTGGTTAAGAGCATTAGCTGCTCTTGCAAAGAGCTAGGTTTGGTTCCCAGCACCCACATAGCAGGTAACACCCATCCTTAACTTAAGTTCCAGGGGATCCAATGCCCTCTTTTGGCCTCTGTGGGCACTGCACACACATGGTGTGGCAAAACATTGACACACATACAATATTTTTTTTTTTAAGAGTATCTGAGTTTGTGTGGATGTGTAGTGTGTATGCCTGCCAGGATATGGCCCTTACAGCTTTCCTTCTTCACAAGTACCTTGGCCAACCCTAGTCCTTTGCCTTTTCTGCGTAGTTTAGAGTCACCTTCTAAATTTCCTCCAAACAAGCAGACAGATCCTGTAGGGATTTTCCTGGGACTAATGCATTTGACATTTTTACAATATCAAGTCTTCCATCTATGTCCATGATTATTTTCTCTTTATAAGTTAACAAAATGTTAATAGAGGTGTACCAAACCTAGACGTCAGCTTGTTATAAGCTCTTATTTTCTTTTTCTTTTGAAGAAATGACAAGAACAATAGTAGTGGGACTGTAGCTTTGACCAGTGCCACACCCAGCACACCGAGGCAGACGACATGTGCCCCTGCGAGAAAGCCAGGACCTCTGCCTTCCAGCCTGGATGACTTAAAGGTGATGATCCCACTTCAGCTCATTCATCTCTAAGTACCTCAAATCAAGCTTGTAAGCAAATGACCAGGTTTACCTACCAGGTGTAGGGAGTTTGCAATGTGTTGCCAACTTTAGCAACAATATAATACCCTTACAGAGGTAATTTCTTTCCATTAACTTTTATTTTTCAAATGACCGATAGTAACTCTCATTTGCTGACTGTGTGCTCTGTCCAGGCACCATGGAGAGAGCCGTCATGGTAGCCATCCTGCAGCACAGCTGCTCTGTTTACAGTTACTACTCTCAGACTTACTGTGCCTCATTTAGACTTCACTTTATCATAGGGCATGTGTGCATTTAGAGATAGGGTTCAGACATCTACTGGGGGTTTTGGTGCATACCTCTGTGGTTAGGGAGGTCTCTTCTCCTGTTCATGTGTCAGAAAGTCATGAAACCAAAACATATGATCTGCTTGTGCCTCCAGGTATCAGAACTGAAGACAGAACTGAAACTGAGGGGTCTGCCAGTGTCAGGCACCAAACCAGATCTCATTGAACGCCTGAAACCTTACCAGGAGGTAAACAGCAGTGGCCTTGCCACTGGCAGTATTGTGGCAGTGTCATCAGCTGCCATCGTCACCAGTAACCCAGAGGTGACCGTGGCACTGCCGGTTACAACACTACATAATGCTGTGACTAGCCCTGTGTCCACTTTCAAGGCAGATTTGCCGCCTGCTGGACCCAACAATGCGACCCACATCGAAAGTGTCCATTCCCCACTACCCATCTCACCATCACCCTCCGAGCAGTCCAGTCTCAGTACCGATGACACGAACATGACAGATACCTTCACGGAGATTATAACCATGATGTCCCCCTCTCAGTTCTTGTGTTCATCCCCCCTGAGGGTGGCAAGCCATGAGGACAGCCTGAGTCCCACCAACAGTACGCTGTCAACCCTAGAACTGGATGCTGCTGAGAAGGACCGCAGGCTTCAGGAGAAGGAAAAGCAGATTGAAGAGCTGAAGAGGAAACTGGAACAAGAGCAGAAGCTCGTGGAGGTTCTGAAGATGCAGCTTGAGGTTGAAAAGCGAGGGCAGCAGCAGCGACCTTCAGACCTCCAACCTAGTGGCCCTGTGCATCCTGTCAATGCATCAGATCAGAAGCATAGCATCGTCGGGTCCTCTGTCAAGGATGAGGCCTCACTCCCTGACTGCTCCAGCCCCCGGCAGCCCATCCCGGTCGCCAACCACTCTATAGGCCAGCCCATCTCCACTGGTGGCCAAACCCTTGTTGCCAAAAAGGCTGTTGTCATCAAGCAAGAGGTCCCCATGGCCCAAGCAGAACAGCAAAGTGTTGTCTCACGGTTCTACGTGAGTCCCCAGGGACAGCCACCTGCCCTTGTCGCTCAGCCTCAGGCCTTACTGACCACGCAGACCACTCAGTTGCTGCTGCCAGTACCCATCCAGGGCTCGAATGTCACTTCAGTTCAGCTCCCAGTAGGCAGCCTCAAACTCCAGGTGGGCAGTGTGTCTCACAGTCACCTTACACCAGCGACTCAGCCATCCCTGATCTGCTTTGCATCCACCATGGGCTACAGTTGTAGAAGGTGTGGGTATGTGTGGAGGACTGAGTGACTAGCACTGTGTTTACATGGTGAAAACAAACATGGGTGCTTCTAGTTCTGTCTGCTCTTCTCTTGGATACATGTGCTTTTAAAAGGCTAGTGGCAAGCCGAGCCTGGTGGTGCATGCCTTTAATCCCAGCACTCAGGAGGCAGAGGCAGGTGGAGCTTTGTGAGTTTGAGGCTAACCTGGTCTAGCAAGTTCTAGGCCAGCTGGGGCTACAGGAAGACCCAGTCTCAAAAAGACCAAAAAAAGGCTATTGGAAGTAGTGAAAGCTGAGCACTTCCTCCATGAATCAAGTACCTTCCTCCTTTCTCCTGGTTCTGAGTGGCAGCCCATTTCTAGGTATGGAGATTTGAGGGCAGAGCTAATTTGAAATCTAGATCTTCTGACTTCAGTTTTTATTCTTGTACCTATTATTCTGCTTGATTCTTAGGAGACACTGTTGACATTAGGATGCCTCAACTGAAGAAAACATGGCTACAGATTTAGGAGTGAGGCTCTTCCTGACAGAGATAATGAAACACTGGGGAGCACAAGACTCCCTTTTGTGTCTGCTTAGCCTGCTTGTTTCCTTCCATTGTTTGCATTGTTCCTTGAAAGTACACTTCTGGAGGGTTTTAACCAGATGTGTGCCATAAGGAAAGAAGAAACCTTTGAGCCGCTGCTTCTCAGTTTTCATCTGCCCAATGCCTGTAACAGCAGACACAGATAACCTCACAGGCCTGGGTTTAGAAGGCCCAGACAGCTTTGGTCTGCAAAACACCCTCCTTTGGTCTGCAGAGTGCCTGTGTGTTAGAAGTCTACTCCATAACACTTCTTTAATTTTTTGGTCTCAATCTTTCATTAGAGCTGATATAGGAATAGAACCTGTTTTCTGCTGAACCTGTGTATACCCCTCATGTCCCTGGCTGTCCCCAAAGCGCACATGCTATAAGCTTCAAAGTGGAAATTTGGGCAGTTGGGCCTCACAGGTTTCCTGGGTGCTATTAAATGTATTACAACACCTGACTCATTATGTATAGAAAGAACCATTGTCCCTTCTTAGTTTCATTTTCTATCTTCCAAAATTTTTCAAGTGAAAATCTTAAGCCGCATTAAGGAACAGTAAGTTCGTTCATACAGAAACCAGTCTAGTGTCTGATGTTGGTTTCGATTTAAGTTCACTGAGAGAAGGATAACTAGTCAGTGCTAAGTTAGGAACAAGCAGTGGTGTGCTGTTGCACTTTTCACCATAAAGAAATAAGGAGCAGGAGTTCAGCTCAGTGACAGAGTGCTTGCCTAGAATGCACAAGGCCTTGGGTTTGAGCACCATGGGGTGCAGCGAGGGGACAGGGAAAGAAATGATTTAGGAGATGGATGTGTTTAGCCTGCTTTAAACATTACACAATGTATGCGTGCGAAGTATCACATGGCACCCCATTAATACAAGTTTTTTTAATATTTTATTATTTTTATTTTGTGTGTATGTATGTATTGCCTGCATGTAGGTAAGTGCACCCATGTCATGCAATGCCTGCAGAGGACAGAAGAGGCTGTTGGATCCCCTGGAACTGGAGTTACGGACAGTTGTTAGCTGCCATGTGGGTGCTGGGATTCGAAACTGGGTCTTCTGCAAGAACAGTCAGTGTTCTTATCCACTGAGCCACCTCTCCAGCCCTAATATAACAGTTTTTATATTTCAGTTAAAAACCAAAATTTTTTTCTCAAAAAGACCAAAAAATAAAATAGCTGGGTGTGGTGGCGCATGCCTTTAATCCCAACACTCGGGAGGCAGAGGCAGGTAGATCTCTATGAATTCCATCCAGGCCAGCTAAAAAAAAAAAAAAAAAAAAAAAAAAAATTTAAGTAATTGCTAAAGATCAGATGTATGCAAATGTATGTCTGTAAACATTGTGTTTCATTTCATCTTAGCTATATGATTCCCAAGCAAACAGTTGCTTCACATCTGAACTCAATTTTAAATGTGCTTTTGACATTGACATTGATTTTTATTCACCTCCCAGACCCCACAAGCAGGAATCCAGGCTCAGCCTCAGATAGCGACAGCTGCACAGATTCCAGCTGGGGCCTTGCCCTCAGGCTTGGCCCCCACAGTACCTCAGAAGCAGGAGGCCTTTCCACAGCATGTTCTCAGCCAGCCCCCGCCAGTCAGAAAGGTGGGTGGATGTAACTAGAGCGGACTGCTGGTCTTTACTGTCACCTTCTCCCCTGTGAGCATTGTCTTAAGAACCTGTTCCTTGGGAAGTCCTGTGATCCTCTGCTGTGCCATTTAGCCACAGGTAATCTAATTATCTAGGTTGAGAAAGATCTTTAGTGTAAGACAGCTGAACCATCTAATCCCTGATCCAAATAAGTTCCCAAAATATTTTCTAAAATTCTGGTGTACTGGATTTACTGAGTTTTAAAATAAATTTCTTTTCAAATTAAATGTGCTGTTCCCTGGGAAAATATATTTGAAGATGAAAAAAATACTTCTGACATTTCTCTCTCAAGTAAGACCTTTTGATATGTATATCTCTAAGAGTCTCTGCCATCTCATGGATGAAGAACCAGGAGAGCTGGGTATGGGCGCACATGCCTGTGATCCTACCTAACCAGGCAGGCTAAGGCAGAAAGAATCTCAAACACTAGTACATAGTGAGTTCAAGATCATCCTAGGCTACATAGCCAGACCCTGTTTCAGAAAAAGAAGGGGGAGGGCGGGGAAGCCAGGAGGTTTCTCACTAGTTTGCCACTTCCTCGTCACTTGGCCTTTTAAAGTCCACTGACTTTCTCCAAGTTTCAATTTCTTCATCTGAAATGAAGGGCTACAGCTCTCTATCCACCAAGGTGGCGAGCTTCCCTCATCCAGTAGGGGGAGCTGTGTGCCAGAAAAACCTTAAAGCTTCAAAAACCATATTTCTTGTCCTGAGAATTACTAGTTTCAGAGTTTTAATCTTTGACATTAAAAAAACCCAGGTAATTAATTATCCCTGTCTGTATGCCTTGGCTATCCTGAACCATATGGCTTGAGACGACATTAGGATGCAGCAGATGGCCTCTCTTCTCCACAGCAGTCATACCGACACAAGAAAGGAATCAGTAGTATGTTACCAAGTCTCAAGAAACCTTAGAATATAATTTTTCTGTAGTTATATAAGCTTAGAAGGTGTTCAAATTTCTTGGCTTAGAGGAAAGAAGCAAAAACAATATATAATAGTATAAACAACGGTTTGCTCACTCATCTCAGATTACTGGAATTAGGAATCACTGCTTCCAGCTTAAAGGAGGTAGTGTTGCCACATGGAAGGAGACTGACCATTCTCAAACAGGAGGTACATTTAGAGGTATAAATGCTCTCATGGTAAGTATATCTTTATGATTAAAAAAAAACATAAGGGAGAGGCTGCTCTCTTTAAGGATATTAGTGATATAAAGTATATTAAATATCTTGATGATGAAACCAAGCTCTGTGAGGTACAGTACTGTGTGTGGCCTTTAATTTATAAAAGGTACCCAAACTTGTGGTTGTTCATAGAGCCACACAAAACATTGGCATCCCAAATAAAAGAAGAATCTCACCTTGGTCTGCTGGCACAGAAAATGGTGCTTTAGAAAGGGGGAATATTCTGAAGACCAGGAGAACCTGTTGATGTGGTAGGGGCTCTGTTTGTGGGAGGGTTTGAGCAGCACCCCAAGGAGCAGCAAAGGAAAGCCTGGATTAGGACTTCCAACTGCTTCAAGGAAATGGAGAGAGCAGAAGTCTCCAGGTAGCTGAACAGAAAGCAGAACCATGCATCCCTCAGAGCCAGCACAGTGAAAGGAAGAGGGAGCATGGTTTGAACATAGCAATTTGAGGTGTCCAGGAAGGGGGAAGGAGGCTAAGGGACTGTTAGTAACTTATCCCTGTGTCCTGAAAGGGGACCAGTTCACCCCAGGGGGAATGTGAGGAGTCCAGCTGCCATTGCACAGGGAAACCACCAGATCCCTCTTGGACAAGGTGCCATCTACCCAGCCTATGGATAAATTACTGAGCAAAGGAGCCCTTGTGGTAGAAAATAGGGGAGGAACGCACACCCCACTTGTGTTTTGCTGTTGCCCCGTCATATCACACTGCCCAAGGCTACCTTTGTAGTCCCCTGCAAAGGAGAATGCTCCAAGCAGAGACCCTGTGACCCACAAACCTTGGACAAGTGTTTGGTGGCCCTTGCTCTAAAATGTGGTTTTCTTTACTTCATTAACAAGTACAAGAAATTAATGAAGAAATACTCATTACAGGTTTTCACAAACTCAGCACCAAACACAGTTCTTCCGTATCAGAGACAGCCTGCCCCAGCAGCACAGCAGCCCTTTGTCAGCAAGACCTCCAACCCCGTTCTTCAGTCCAGAAGCACCCCACTTCCACCCCTGCAGAATGGACCTGCCCCATCCAGCAAGGTAAGCTGTGGGGACCACAGAAGACACAGTACTTTCTGGGTACCCAGTCATTCTGGCACCTTGAATGTTCAGTAACTTAGTGTCAGTATTGTGAGCATGGGTTGACTTGTTAAGGATATGCCCAGCTCTCTTCCGTGAAGATGAGCCCTTCCACAAGATGACCACCACAGTGGTCAGCTGCCCAGGTGCTTTGGACACTTGTTTATGAAGCCATGACTGAGCCACTGTGGGAAGAACAAGGCAAGAGCAGGCGGATTGCCATGAGCTAACAGGTGCTTTTCCTTTGTTTGCTGCAGCCTAGCTCACCCCCTCCACCCCAGCAGTTCGTTGTCCAGCACTCTTTATTTGGGACCCCAGTCACCAAGACAAAAGACCCACCCCGCTATGAGGAGGCCATCAAGCAGACACGTAACGCACAGCCGGCCCTTCCAGAGGTAAGCGCAGTGGTGGTCACAGCACAGGGTCACATTTCAGGTCACCCTCAGACTGTGAGCAGTCCCCTATTGAACTTGCCTCAGTTAGAACACAGAAATTATAGCTAGGAGCTTTATATTTTAGCTGACTAGTTTAAGTTTGTGTCATTTGTTTAGACTTCCAAGACCCTTTCTGTAGCAGTACAACCTTCAGGTACTCTGTATTTGGAAATTCAGAGTTTATCTTTTGACCTTTCCCCGTGGACAAAGGGATCTTTCGTGTCAGAAGCGAATCTGAGCGCGAGCTGAGCCCATGTTTCATCCTCATCTCTCCTCATCTCGAGCCACCGTTTGTCAGGCCAGCATCAGATATATGGCAGGAGGCTGTACACCTGAATTCACTTGGCCTACATCTCACCTGACCCTTCTCCTCTGCACAGCAGGCCAGGCCTGCAAGTGTCTGCTCATAGGTGGAGCAAATGCACTTTGTAGGACACACCGATGGTTCTCTAGGCTTCACCATGGGCATGCCCAGTGCCCATGACCTTAGAGCCCTCCTGGTCCCACTGATAACACCAGAGTCACAGCAGCTATCCTCACAAATAGGAAGAGCTAGAGTTCATGTTTATAAAAGCATCTGGTCCAGGGCAACCATAGCACTTGTCACCCTAAACTCTCCTGAACCCCTGCCTCTCCAAAACTCCCTTTCAAAGCTTAAAACAAATATACTTTAAAAAAGGAACTCAGCTTCCTAAAGATTTGAGGAATGGACCTGATGATTTAACACAGTGAACCCAAGCAAAACTGGATATTCCAGCAAATAGCAGGACTATCAGCACAGGTGTGCAGATTCCCCTGCCCCATGTACCATGAGTGCCTCTTTAGGGACACATGGTGTGTGTACATACCATGGATCTTGTTGCATCTAAGACCTGCAAGGCCAAGGGCTTAATGCCCTTCACTAGGAAGTGAGCATCAGAATGCTGGGGTTGTCTGGACCTGGCAACTGCCTCTGAACTGAGGAAAGACAGTTTTTCTAGTTGTAAAACATTCCATATTCAACAGAGCTCTTACCTATGAGGGAAAAGAAGATTTCAGAAAAAGGCTTAAACGTTTGCAGTAAGAATTGAAAGGAAGCTTCGCTAGGCTGTCTTACCCCTCAGTCCATCCGGAAGCAACATCTCTTCACCAGAGAACAGAAATGAATCGCCAAGTGATTAATGGAAAGAAGGCAGCCCTCACCCTTCCAAGCCTGGTTCCTGTGTGCATGTTTAATAGTGCAGCCTACCTGATGCATGTAACAACAGAAGAGAAGAACCCTCCACTTCAGCCTGAGGCAGCCAGTGGGAATCCCTGGGGTTCACAGGTGCTTGGTTAAGGTTTGTAGGCTGAAAGAGCCACGTTCTACATCAACACCTTTAGATTCCACTGAGCACTAGCTTCAGGAATCCTGAGGTTATTTGGTTTTTCAAATACATTTACTCAGACTTCCCAGTGACTAAACCAGATCCTGCTGGTTCCATCTTCCCACAGGTAACAACTACAAATCGTACTCGTAACACAAGAGGCAATTCTGTAAAGCCACTAAAGAAAGCAGTCAGAGCTTTCATGGGGAACTGACACTCAGAGAGGGGGACTTGGCATGAGTTCTCTCTTTCTGTTACATTTGCTCTGGGGTCTAGCTAAGTGGCAAGGTTACTCGATGGCGATGGAAAAGCTGTACTCTGTACAGCTGGGAAACCACAGGACTGAGTTCCAAGCAACTAAAGAGAAAATAAGAAAGCCCTGAATTCTGTCTCCACATCTCTGGCTGACCCATAAGCCACACAGACATGGGATAGACTCACAGAAGCTTAGTTGAAGACAAAAGGTCCAAATTGAGAAATCCACCCAAGAAGCATTTCAAAGTTAAAATTCAACAAATTAGCTACTTGCTAAAACAAAAGAACCCATTCATCTGAGAAAAATAACAGTCTTCACAATTTAGCACTCTTTCATAACAGTCAGGAAGATGTCACCTGTCCTGAAAGGAAAAGGCAATATCAACTGAGCAAAGCACACGCTGAGATACAGACTCATCCCATGACATGAAAACAGATCCTGGGCTTTATCCATCACAACATAAACAGACACGGGATTTTTCTTTAAAAGACTAAATGGAAATTTTAGAACTAAGAAAAAATACAATACTTGAAATGGAAAAAATTATATGTGAACTTAGCAAAATGGAGATCTGAGAGGGAGGTTAGTGAACTCAGTGACAGGTCAGTGGAACCAACCAGCCTGAACGTTGCACTGAGTTAGATGTTCAGACATGCAAGCAGAGTGCAGAAGGTGTATTTGCTAGTTATTTACATGTGTTAATTCATTATATAATCATGCTGAAAGATAACAAGCTAGACCTAGGACTTGTAGTCTTATCTACAATTCTGTAAAGATTCTGTTGCAAAAGAGAAGTTGGTCCTAAAATATTGGTTCACATATCTTGAGAATACTTCCTTTCTGATAAGATCCTCTTTCTTTTTTTTCATGTACTCTTATTTTTTTTATGGGATTTTTGGCTATTCTAACATTCCCCCCTCTGAAGAGGTAACCCTAAAATCTTTTAAGGATTAGATAAAAGCTCCCAAATACTTTTGACATTTTTGACCACTGGAAGGGAGTATGTTGCTAAGAGGCCCAAGGGCATTTTGAGTTTTAGCCAAGAAATTGGCTACTTTTCTTTGGGGTCTTTTTACCCTAACTGCCTAGCCAGTTCCTACCTCCTATTCTTATCACATCATCCTCTGAAGAGGTTACCCAAATTGCCGATAGGTAATAGGGACGTAGACCGCTCTGGCTTCTTCCATGCTGAACCAGAGATGCAGAGTGAGGCAATTGGAGTACCCCTTCAGTGGGTCTATCTAAAAGACTTCCAAATTGCATAACTCTTATCTGTAGGGGGAAAAGAAAGTCCATGATTGGTGAATAGAGGATGTAAAGGAGAAATAAAGGCAAGAGTAGTTAGCATTACAAGTTCTACTCAGGGAACTAGAAAAATGTCAGAATACGACAATTTTCAAATGTCCATATGAGAGTCCATTGGAATTTCTTGACGAGGGCTTCCGAAAGCATCCCTCTACTGGGTTTCTCTTCATTTTTCTTTTGTCTTCCAAGGCTGGGCTCGAGAGTGATGGATTCAGGATTTGCTTTCAGGTATTTTGATAGCTGTTGGAATGGTTTGAATCAGTGTCAGTTCCCTCTCAAAGGCTTCTAGATAGGGGGAGAAAACAAATTTATCCATCATTTTAGAACAATAGCGGATTGTCTCCCTTAGTGACAGATGGGCACTACAGCATTGCAGACCAAGATTTGAAGTCTTACATCAGAGCAGCACTTTCTAATTAGGAACAAAATCATCAATGAGAAATAATTGTCTAAATAACTTCTTATATGGACTTAAGCCAATGTCTGGGGAGTGTAATCCCTTGAACTCTTAAAGAAATATACTGACGACTTTACTCTTTGGTTATACTTTCCTTTTGGGTCTTTGACACCATACAGTTGGCCCAAATAAATCATTTTATTTTTATATTTAAGATCATTTGAAGATCTGTTCCTCAGGAGTCACATGGGCTTGGGAGGAGCTCCTGGCTCCTTTCTTTTACCAGTTCCATCTATGTGAAGATAAGTCAGAGGTCCTGCTCAACCATGTCTGGCTTCACTTGAAAGCATGGATGAGATGTTTCCTCTTAGTGGACCCTCCTCTTTGTAGACTGGACACTGGTTCAAGTCCATCTCATGGGGTCTCCATGGCCACCCTGAACAAGAGGACAGGTGACTCACAACAGTTACAGGACATTTTAAGAGATGTTCCATAGTTCCCTGGAACTTAGTCGACCTTGGAGGGCAAGGGGCAAAAACTGTCCTTTAAATCCCTCTGACCACATTAGTATAGGCCTCAAAGTGTGGCTGTTAAACATCCAGTAAGGTTAGTTCCACCTGTCTGGTACTTTTAATTACCATGTGATGTGTAGATAAGGCTTGGGTGAAAAACTGAATAGTCTCATATAAACCTTGACTAGATACATATTTTGTTCCTTAAACTAGTTGACTAAACTATGACCTTAGAAATTTTAAGATTATGTGTATATTATTTTTGTCTCATCCTTTATATATCATAACAAGCCTACACAGACCTTCATCACTTGCTTAGGCTTTCTCATTTTTTCTATTTTGGAAAATATCTCCATTTCCATATCCTTTTAACATCTTTTATGTTCTCATTTTCTTTCTTTTTTTTTTAATAATTATGAGACATAATAGCTTTAACAAATTTCCATCTGTTCTGAGAATTCTTTTCCTGGGGATACTAAGCAATACTTATTCCCATTTTATGGCTCTAATATCAAGCCAATGTTTGATTAAAGTTTTACTGGGGAGCCATGAATTTATTGAGCTTACTTACCGAGATAACTGAGGGGTTGCTGAGGTGTATGTATGACCTGAGGGTATGCACACTGGAAAGCCTTTACTCAGCATGGGTCATGCCTTCTCTTCCTAGTCTTCCCTAGATTGTATACTTTAGCCCTCCCCAAATCCAGGAGGCCATGTGTGATTAGGGCCAAATTACTTACAGTTGGCTGGGAAGAGTGGCTGGATACTCCGGTGAGGGTCCAATAACCCGGCTTGGCCCTCCTCTAATGAATGAGCACAACCGTCAACTAGCCCAGTTGTGATGATGTTTAGCGATCAGGCATAGCCAAAGTTGTGAATGATGGTAGTTATTTCATGCAGAAGAGACTGCAGTACAGTATCATCTTATTTAAAGGACCTGGAATTTAAAAGGATTTGGTGCTAGGATCCATATATGAGGGAGAACATACGTCGTTTGTTTTTCTGAGTCTGTTACTTCACTTAGTATAACAGTTTCTAGATCCATCCATTTAGCTGCAGATTTCATTATTTCATCTTTCTTTACTGCTGAATAGAACTCCATTGTGTAAATATACCACATTTGTGTTAACCACTCATCAGTTGAA